CAATGCAAAAGTTGGGTGTTGCTATGTGGTTGCTAAGTCGTTCTGTATGAATCAGTGTTATTTTTGTATAATTGAGATAATATTATAGTTTCTGTTACTTTTGGGAATTAGTATTTAATTTTATATAGTGGTTTATATAGGTTTCATTTGAATTTTAGTTAAAAGTTTTAGTAATTTTTTGTGTTTTTATCATTTCTCTCTCTCTCTCTCTCTCTCTCTCTCTCTCTCTCTCTCTCTATATATATATTAAAATATGTCTATATAGTTTTTATTAATTTTTATTTTATTTTTAGTTATTTTAGTAGGCCTATATCAAGTTGAAATATTGCAAAAAGTATTTTATTTTATTCAGTTAATATTTATTTTAAAGTAAAAATTTATTTTCTATGGTTTTATTTTTAGTTAACTACACTAGAGAAATTAGGTGTAGAGTGTAAATTTCACAAATAATTACAAAGAAACGGAAAGTAACACACTGAATTAAACATGAAAATTTGAAGTAGAAAAACTGAAATTGTATTTTATTGTAAATTGTATTTACTTAGCTTATTTATTTATCTTAGGTTCTTTATTAACTTCAAAAAAGCATTCCTCACAGTGTATAATATTGATTTTAATGCATTGATATGCATTTGCTAGGGTATTGCTTTGTTGCATACTGTGTATTTAATTAATGTTGTAGAGAAAAAAAACAGTATGCATACTGCAAAAACAGTGTGAAGAGTATGTTAGTAGGCTTTTCCAAACACATCCATGATCTCACTGGGTCCCGTCTCAGAATGATGAGGGCACTCTCCAGTTAGTTTTACAGTTCAGTTTTACAGTATTTAAAAAAATAAAATGAATGGAAGATGTAGAAGTGAACAGAATTGTGCCCTTGAATGTTGATTATAGTGACCTTCCGCTGTGATCATCTGATCAGTGTTTAGTTGAAAAGCTGCTCTGTCCCTGAGCACTAATTTGAGTTCAGACAGACAGATGGCAGACGTCCCGCTGGAGCGATAGGAACTGGAATGTTTGTGCAACTATTAGCCATATATATATATATATGTGTGTGTGTGTGTGTTTATGTTTGTGTTTGAGGACCCTGCTGGACTCCAACTAGTTTTAATGATCCATTCCGTATCAGTGATGAAAAAAGAAAGTCTATTTTAAGACCATTACAATTTTTTTTTTTTTTGCACTTTGTGACATTATTTTTCATGACAATAAAGGAAATTTTTGTCCCAAATTCTTATTAACAAATAAAAATCTCTTGATCATTACTATGAAAAAATGAAAGGTATGTATACATCATTATAGCATTTGTCGTTAACATAAACATTATCGTATTAAAGCTATTTCCACTTTTTATTTTGGATATTATTACAGTAAGTAATAATGTCAATAACAAAACTAATAGTATAATGATGACTCGTATAATAATGCTTTTTGCATTGCAGTAATGAGAATTTGCATGACGGTAAAATGTGCTTAATGTCAAAATATCACAATGGTCCTCAAAATTGCTGTCAAAATGTCCTATATATATATATATATATATATATTAAGAATTTTTAAAAATGTATTTATGGTATCATATATATTGTACAGCATAAATAAATACGTTTAAAAAAAATTTTTTTTTTTATATTGGAACTGTTGAACATGTTTTCATGAGATTTTCCCATTTCTAAAAGGAAACCTGTCATAACTGATTCATGTTTTGTGTTGACACATCAAAGTAACCATACGATGATCCAAAACGTTGCTCATTTCTGTCTTAATATTAAAACATGTACCTTGTTTGACCTGTAAAGCACTTAAGATCCACTTTGTCCCCTGAATATTAATAGTGAGACTGATCATTTTCAGGTTCCAGAGTGAAATGTGTGCTGTCCAGTCATATTAGCTTCAAGAACTCAGACGTCCTGACGTAACCTCCTAGACGAGAGGCAGCGTTTCTCTTCTCCTGACAAAACACTAATGGGACGACGGCACAGAGAAAGTATAGCTTGTTTTGACTGGAGAAAATGTCTTCACAATGGAGAAATTGTGCTGTTGTGGCAGGTGACACATTTGCATGGTTGACTGATCATGGCAGGCTGTGCGTGAAAAAAATTCTGCTATCTAACATAACAGGTTTGGTCCAAAAAGTTAAACGTTTCTGTGGGTCAAAACAACTAAGCATGATGTCAAAGTCAACATGAAACAGCATTTGCAACCCATTTTACTTCCGTAATGTGCCATATTTCTAAGTAAACATGAATGTATTTATTTATTTGCAATTATGTGCACTGGTGAGTCGTTCAAAATAAGACTAGGAACGCGTATTAAGAAAGTAAACGGGGTCGATTTTGATTTCATGTTGACTTTAAAATAAATGTTCCCATGTTTTGTAGTGGTGATGTGGCCTCACTGGTTTGTTTCTAAACGTTTTCACCTCTAAACACTATTTTTCATACATTTTTGTTCCTTTACATCACTTCTCTTCTTTTTCTCAGTCATTTAGGCCATAACTGTGGCCTGGCTCTACATAAGTACTACGTTTACATAGGCATGCACAATACAGTGTAACTATGAGCAATTACGAAGTTCATTTAAGTGTAATCACACATGAAATACCTGAATAAAGCATGAATAGAGGAGAACTACTGTCTTTAAAAGTGCCTCTCAAGGCTATAGAAATGTTCAGAGATTGCTGATCTCTCGGTGTACTGTGTTTTATGCTGTCATATGGTTTGATTTGTCTAATATAAATGTTCTAGAAGGCCCTTCTGGCAAACAGCATATCAGTGTAAGCCACTGAAACAAATTCAAAGCTTTACTATGGCACGATTTTAGGCTGTTTCTAAATGAAAGGTTTTCCTGAATTATATCTCAAAACAGCCCACTCTCACAATGGAAACATCACTGCTGCATGAACCAGCAAAACATCTTTCTCTGGCTGTTTTTAACCTAATTTCGGAGGATTCAGTATAAAGCCTCAGTTATCTTCAGATGTTCTCACGTGTTTGGGGAACGCAGTACAGAAGTAGCAGGAGCAACAATTCAGTTAAATAGTTTTAAATAGTGATAGCGCTGTAGGAATTGCATTAGACTGATTGCTGGGTATTCAGCACTGTTTTAAACTAACTTAATGCAACACACATAAGTGGTAAGTGAGCTAACATATATGATACAATGTGATAAATAAATAAATAAAAACATGCATAAACTGATAGTAATGTTAATGTGAGACTTTTATTTTAACATTAAAATAAACAGAATGAATGAATGAATAAATAAATAACAAATGAGAGTAATTTATTTTACTGTAAGCCCTGCTGTGTACTTGGTAAGCTGATAAAAAATAAATACAATAAAATGAGAATAATTTAAATGTAAGCCTTGTTGTGACCTTGGTAAGCTGACAAACAAAGCAAAGCAAAGCAAAGCAAAGCAAAACAAAACAAAACAGAACAGAAGCTGGGTATTCAGCACTGTTTTAAACTAACTTAATGCAACACACATAAGTGGTAAGTGAGCTAACATATATGATACAATGTGATAAATAAATAAATAAAAACATGCATAAACTGATAGTAATGTTAATGTGAGACTTTTATTTTAACATTAAAATAAACAGAATGAATGAATGAATAAATAAATAACAAATGAGAGTAATTTATTTTACTGTAAGCCCTGCTGTGTACTTGGTAAGCTGATAAAAAATAAATACAATACAATGAGAATAATTTAAATGTAAGCCTTGTTGTGACCTTGGTAAGCTGACAAACAAAGCAAAGCAAAGCAAAGCAAAGCAAAGCAAAGCAAAGCAAAACAAAACAGAACAGAACAGAACAGAATAAAAAACAGATAAAAAAAACTAAACAAAAACAAATCAAAAACAAAAATAAAAACAAAACAAAACAAATCAAATCAAAACAAAAAACAAAGCAAAGCAAACAGAACAGAACAGAATAAAAAACAGATAAAAAAAACTAAACAAAAAACAAATCAAAAACAAAAACAAAAATAAAAACAAAACAAAACAAATCAAATCAAAACAAAAAACAAAGCAAAGCAAAGCAAAAAAACATAAAAAACAAAACAAAAAACAAATCAAATCAAATCAAAACAAATCAAATCAAAACAAAAAGCAAAACGAAACAAAACACAAATAAAAAAACAAAGCAAAGCAAAGCAAAACAAAAGAAAAACAAGTCAATAACAAACCAAAGATAATTGAGACTTTATGAAATCCTCATATTCAAAATTAAAAACAGCTGCGGAGACTTTTGGTGAAATTATCACCAGAGTGACGTTTCCTTGTGATTGTTTAGCTCAAAAACAAGAGCTGTTGTTTGGCAAAAAATATCCATGTGTGGTTATGTGTTTGCTGTGGTCAATTGTTTACAGTATGATGCATGAAATAAATGATATCGCGATGGATCAAATGCCCTTTTCTCCACCCGGCAGCTTTCTGAAACGAGACGTGGCGATGAACAGTAATTCCGAATGTGCCCAAATCAATATCAACACACTTCATAGTCTATAACAATAGCCTAAAATACCCCACTAAACATAATCTATCAATATCCTTTAGACGGTTTTGCGCCCATAACCTGGAAACTAGTTTTTTGCCAAAGGTTTTCAATAAAACCACCCCAAGTCCCCATAAACCTACACTATACACCCTGAATTAATTGTGTCTAACTCTTAATTGGCATATTATATGAAGTAGCATGTATGTCGCGCAAGATAATCATTCGGTGGCAATATTGTACATGGTTACGGTACCGACAGAGATGAAAAAGATTTGGTCCTCTGGTCCCTACGGGTGAGAGAAAGAGAGTTCGTTATACTGTGTCAGTGTCATCTACACATTTTACCGTTAAACCCTCATTATTCCACGCGAGTAAAAGCTACAACTGTCTTTTGATATGTGCATGGATCCGTCTTTTGCTTTAGCGAACTCTACCAGTCCCAGCCATGCACTGTTCTTCCAAAGTGTTGGGTATATAGTGTTTTTCAAAAGAGAAAAAAGTTTTCAGTTTATTTGTTTTCGTCCTCGTCTCCGCCGTCGCTGTCGTCCCCCGTCACGCCAGTCTTTCATCGCCGTGGAAACACACGCTTTCGTTAAATGCGATATGCTTCACGAAACGCCCTTCCTTATGCGCTTGTTTTTCCACTTTGTTTGCTTCTTCGTGTGTTTTTTGTGTTGTTGTTTTTTTGTTTCATTTTTTTTTTTTTCATGTGTTAGTTTTTCAAGAAAAGTTTCCATCCGTCAAAACGTCAAGACTACAACTGTTCAAAACCTGCCAGAGAGAGGGAAAGAGAGAGAGAAATGTCAGAGTTTGACTCGGGAGACAGACAGCAGCAGCAGAGGAGGAAAACAGCTCAGCTACATGCTGACAGCTTGATACCTGCATGTCAAACCAGGAGCCATCAGGCACAGCCGGAGCCGTGTGAAGCTCAAACTCAGGCCTGCGCTCTTGACATCACATTAAACATGATAGAAGCACCCAGAGAGATGACATGATACAGGTGTGCCGATGGATTGCATCATCCACTCTGCAGCTTCAAGAAAACATTTGACTGTTTGCCAGAAGAGTTTAGCGGAGAAGTTTACGACTTTAAAGAAGAGATTACTTCATTCAGCACAAGCTTTTATACTCAAAACGTGGGATGTAGCGATACAGACATTTTGATGATAATAATAACTGATTATTATGTCTCATTGTGGCCGATTATAATGGTTAAGATGGCTGATAAAAAAAAAATATTATTAAATTATTATTATTATTGATAATAATAATAATAATAATAATAGTTATTATTATAAAAAATTTAATTTAAAAAATATATATATTTAATTTTTATTTACTTTTAATTTTAATTTTAATTAAAATATATTTTATATTACTTTGATATTTTATTTTATGAAAAATTATTAATAATAATGTTGTTTCAACAATGATAATAATAACTGATTATTATGTCTCATTGTGGCCGATTATAATGGTTAAGATGGCTGATATAAAAAAAATATTATTAAATTATTATTATTATTGATAATAATAATAATAATAAGAATAATTGTTATTATTATAAAAAATTTTATTTAAAAAATATATATATTTAATTTTTATTTACTTTTAATTTTCATTTTAATTAAAATATATTTTATATTACTTTGATATTTTATTTTATGAAAAATTATTAATAATAATGTTGTTTCAACAAAAACAATAACAACAACAATAATAATATTATTTTATTTTAATTTGGATTTTAATTTGATTTAAATAATAATAATAATAATTCTTATTATTATTTGATTTTTATTTAAAATATAAAATCATCATCATCATTATTGTTGTCAAAAACATTAGTAAAATCATACATCAAAATATTATATAATTTACAATTATGATTTGTAATAATAATAATAATAATAATTATTATTATTATTATCTTAATTATTTTTTCATTTTTATAAAAAATTAAATTGATATTAATACTAATAAAATAATAACAACAACAACAACAATAAGAACAACAACAATTATTATTATAAAAATGTAATTTAAAAACAAAATTAGTTGTTGTTGTTGTCAAAAATACTAGTAAAATCAGTCATCAAAATATTATATGTTATCATTTTATTATTTAAATGTATAAATCAGAAAAATTAAGGCCTGATATTATTCGCTTGCAGGTAATTACAATGTAATGTACTTAATCTTTACAGCATGCTTTTAAAAACATTAGCACATTTGTTTAGACAGTTTTTAGAGAGAAAAGACACAATTTAAACACTATTAATGCTGTCTTGCAAAGTCAAAGAACCCCCTCACTTTTAATAAAATGTAAATCCATTCCCCGCACTTTATTCGGGCAAGTGTGTTCACGTAGTGGTTTTCAAGGGCCACTGTGAATAAATCTAAATTTAAATTCAAAGAGACAAAATAGTTACAAGTACGACGGCGTTTTAGTGCCACGTTAAAAAAAAAAACTAAGATTACGAGATTAAAGTCGTAATATTTCGAGAATAAAGTCAAAATGTTTTGAGAATAAAGTCGAAATATTACGAGAATAAAGTTGAAATGTTTCGAGAATAAAGTCGAAATACTACAAGAATAAAGTCGAAATATTACGAGAATAAAGTCAAAATATTATGAGAATAAAGTCGAAATATTACAAGAATAAAGTCGAAATATTACGAGAATAAAGTCTCAAAATCAGTTTTATAGCAAAACACAAATGATGTGTCTTACAATAATGTGTTTTTCAAGCTCTCTAATGATCAGATCGCTGTATTTATGTGAACCAATTCATTAAATTATACTGTTTTCTTTGTGAAAATTCCAAAATTCAAAATTTGTGAAAATTTCACCACCTACTCCGCAAAAACGTCTGTTAAACATTTATTCCTCATATGTAGCCTATTTAATTAATAAAACGTTAACATTAGTTAACATAAGTTATATTGTTTTCTTTTCTGAGGTAGCCTGTAGGCTATAACATGTAAGTGACTATTCACAAGCTGTTTTATTCATGATATAATACAGTAAATGATTGGACATAATATTTAACGTCTTCCATTCATTATTTGTAGCACGCCAGCCATCCAGTAATCGCAATCATTTTGTGCTTTGTTTGCTTTTAATATAACACAGATCAGCTTTCTAATTCTGTCAGTTTTATCACGAAATACAAATTATAAATGTTTTTCCTCTTTATTTCAAGTTTATAGCACAATATAAAAGTGAAGGAACATCAGAAGGCATGAAAAAACAGTATAGCTTAATTTATAATGAAAATAATGTCTCATTATTGTAATCGGAAAGACTTACATGCCGCTTAAACTGAAGCGAATACAGCGATCTGTCACGCCACATTAAAGAGCGTGAAAATAACACATTATTGTAATATATTGTTTGTATTTCACTTTACAACTGACAGATTTTGAAAGCTGAGACTTTGGAATATCTCCCGGTGCTCCCAATCCGGGCCATTTGCATGTGCAAAAGGCTAGAATATACTCTCAAAATATTATAACTTTAATTTTTATTCTCGAAACATTCCGACTTTATTCTCGAAACATTTCGACTTTAATCTTGTAATCTTAGATTTTTTGTAATTTTTTTTAACGTGACACTAAAACACCGTCGTACACAAGAGACAATAATTTTTTTTATTCATTATTATTATTATTATTACTACTATTAATATTATTTATTTATTTATTTTGGTCTAATCGATTACATTTGTCACTTCTGTCCCCCTCACTTCTGAAATGATGGCTACGCCCCTGAGTGTAACGAAACACTTTACATGAGCCTGCAGTACATTATGATGGACAGCTCTGGCTTTATTAAAATATTGACTTTCTGATGCGTGTGCCCACCTCTCCTAATGGCTGAGAGTGCACGTATGCATCCCTGCTTGTGGTCAGTATGGACGGCTGGCGTCCTTCGGCCAATATTTCGACTTTATTCTCGAAACATTTCGACTTTATTCTCGAAACATTTCAACTTCATTCTCGAAACATTACGACTTTAATCTTGTAATCTTAGATTTTTTGTAATTTTTTTAACATGACACTAAAACACCGTCGTACACAAGAGACAATAATTTTTTTATTCATTATTATTATTATTATTACTACTATTAATATTATTTATTTATTTATTTTGGTCTAATCGATTACATTTGTCACTTCTGTCCCCCTCACTTCTGAAATGATGGCTACGCCCCTGAGTGTAACGAAACACTTTACATGAGCCTGCAGTACATTATGATGGACAGCTCTGGCTTTATTAAAATATTGACTTTCTGATGCGTGTGCCCACCTCTCCTAATGGCTGAGAGTGCACGTATGCATCCCTGCTTGTGGTCAGTATGGACGGCTGGCGTCCTTCGGCCGTTTCAGCTGCACTTTCAAGCGTTTCATGCCGATCTGGAAGCCGTTCATGGCCTGGATGGCAGCCTGAGCGCTAGCGGGGTTATCGAAGCTCACAAAGCCTGCAGACGAGAGAGAAACCGAGCAACAGAGTCTGAGAGAGACTGTGCTGTTCATGTGTGCGTATGTTACAGTCCCTGCAATATAACGTCCACAAATGTCCAAATTTACTCCTTTTTAATTCATGTGGAAGGAAATGGACAACAAATCCTCAAGGAAATGAATAAACTGAGAGGACTGAATCAAATTAAACTAATGGGAGAGAGAGGGAGAGAAACGGCTTGATTTCTGCGGAGGGTTCATGTTTCCGAGAGCCGCCTGTGTAGTCTGAGAAGAATGAATATAAATATATGTGATTCCAGACAGTCAAGGCTTTTGGGGTGAGTGAGGAGACCAATAAACCTTCATTAAACTCACTACGGTCACACACACACACACACACACACACACATCTGGGCCGTGGCACATCATGGGCTGCATGGCACCCTCGGTCCAAAATGAACATTTGGCAAACACTGAATGCATGTTGAAATTGGCTTTGGTGTGCAAATAAAATGGGTTGATTGCCAAATGGCTGCTAACGTGTTAGCAACTGAAACCTAATGCATGGTTTAAGTCAGAATGATAGTGTCACAATAGATTTTTATAAGGGAAGCCATATGCTTGTATTTGATTTTTTTTTTTTAATAATCAGAACTCTGTGTGGCAACAAAACAATAATATAATATACATTGTTCCTATATTGACAGATTTCTCTCTCTCTCTCTCACACACACACACACACACACACAAATACAAGTGTCACAATAGATTTTTATAAGGGAAGCCATATGCTTGTATTTGATTTTTTTTTTTTAATAATCAGAACTCTGCGTGGCAACAAAACAATAATATAATATACATTGTTCCTATATTGACAGATTTCTCTCTCTCTCTCTCTCACACACACACACACACACAAATACAGATGGATAGACAGACAGACAGACAGATAGATAGATAGATAGATAGATAGATAGATAGATAGATAGATAGATAGATAGATTCTTGTAATACAAAGCTGCATTTTCAGCATCGTTACTCCAGTCTTCAGTGTTAAAAACAGTTGTGCTACTTAATGTCATTGTGGAAACTGTATTTATTTATTATTTTTTTACAATTCAAAAGCATTTATTTGAAATAGAAATCTTTTGTAAAATTACAGTCAAGTCTTTAACTGTCACTTTTGATCAGTTTAATGCATTCTTGACCCTAAAATTTTGAACAGTAGTAAGTAGTATTAACTGATGACAGAGATGCCAGTGTATGTTTGAAAGCAGGGAGGTGTGTCTGACCGAAACATTTGCTCTGATTGGTGGCTCGGTCCATGAACACCTTTGACGAGATGACAGATCCGAACGGAAGAAACATCTGCATTAGCTCGTTATCGCCGAACTCCTGTGGCAGGTGATAGATAAACAAGTTGCAGCCCTCGGGACCTGAAACAGACAC